TGAAGACCAGGTATAGTCTGATTAAGTTTGGTAGATTTCACTGAGCCTAGCTTGCTATTTTTGCTCCAATATGTATTCACTTAAAAATAACATTACAAAATAAAATATCTCAAATCAGCAATGTAATGTTTATTTCACATGATTAAACTTGTTCCCATGATCCTCGGGTCTTGTTAGCTCTTTAAAACAAGTTCCCTCTTAGTTAATACCTCCCAAACTATTTTAAAATTGAAAATATAAAGAAAACCCAGGTTTAAACATAAGTTTCGAGGCGCCTGGGTGGCTCAGTTGTTAAGCGTCTGCCTTCGGCTCAGGTCATGATCCCAGGGTCCTGGGATCGAGCCCCGCATCGGGCTCCCTGATCAGCAGGAAGTCTGCTTCCCCGTCTCCTATTCCCCCTGCTTGTGTTCCCTCTCTCACTGTCTCTCTCTCTCTGTCAAATAAATAAATAAAATCTTAAAAAACAAAAACAAAAACATAAGTTTCTCTTAAAAATCCTTTGGAGGAGAAGAAATATCAGCTAGGGAAGGCCTGGAATGGACTTGATATCTGCATAGACATCAGCCTTTAGATTATGATATTTAGCACAATTCTTTTTAATAATACAGCATTATTTAACATCCAGATTATCTGAATAAATTAGCATTGTCTTGGGAACAATCAGCCTTCACACAAACACTCACATTTCATGGGAGTATTACCTTATCAGCTCTTATTCACCTCTTTGGGTATATAAAAGATATGACTCTCAATTTCTTAAAACAATGTCCAAAGAGATGACAGTTTTTCCTTGGGAGCATATACACTACTGGAAGCTTAACAGTTATTTCAGAAACATCTTAACCTTTTTAAAAAAAGTTGATCTCATTGGAAAAGGAATTCTTCACTCTATCCAATATGGCTGTATATCATCATGAGATTAATATATCTTGAACTGTTTTAACAAAGGATAATCACAGAAACCTGAGTAAGATCTCAAAAACAGTGGGAAAAGTGCCAAATACGTAATGTCTAATACTGTAACATAAATGCTTTAAAGATTCTTCATTTTTACGGATGTCACAGACACATGTGTTAAGATGCCTCTTGGAAAATGTGAATAATCATCTGTAAGAGATGTACTAGAGTCATTAAAACCTAATAATAATATGTAAAACACTGTAACCATGTATTTGCTAAGAGTTTTTTCAAGGATATAGCTGAAATGTTTACATAAATATATATCTTTATAATATGAAAAACACTACATAAAAATCAATTTCCCTATCTCACCTAAAAATATAAAATATGTCTAGAGACACTTAATGCCATATGTCAATAGCTCTTCTTGCATTCTCTGCTTTGCAATCAATAGTTCTCCAACCATTAGAGAATATGCTCCATGACTCATCAGAAATTATATACAAAGTTAATGGGGATCAGTGTTCCCCCTCACACACTACACATGCATGGACACTAATGGCAGTTACACCTCATACAGCGGGAGACAGATTCAAGATGGCACCTAGCCAGGAGGTTACTCTTCCAAGCTTCTCTATAAAATCTGCCCTCCCCCCAAAAAAGAACCCACTATATCCACCCTGTCCTATATCTTTAGCAGCCTTCAAGGAAGTAAAAGTAAGCATGCTTTATATGGGTAGAAAAGAACTGCACTTTTTCAGCGTAACACTCACTGTGCATGGCAAAATGTACTTTGGTTAAGAGAATATCTGAGGGGAATGTTTCCAGGGCCTATGCCATTGTGCTTTGTTTGCTAGTCAGATGCTTTCTCAAGAATGTGTTCAAATTATAAAGACAATTATCTCCGTGTATAGAAATCTTTCAAAGACCATACTACCACAGAAACCTATTTTTACCTTTCTTAACATTCAAAACAAAGCCTTATAGCCTACAAGTGAAAATCTCATTCTTGTGAATTTATTAATCTTTGATTAACATGTGGTCAGGAGTTTGTTTGGATTTACTTGATGTTTTTATTTTCTAAGGAAGGAAAGTCATAGGAAAGGAAAATACATATTAAGCATTTGAGGATAATTGCTATTTACCAAAAACTCTATTTTAAAATAAATTTTAGTGACTCGTTTATGTTTGGTAACTTCAGGACAATGATAACTATAGTGTCTCTAAAATGTTCCTAAGTAGCAATCATACTCTATTCTGGCCTTTGAGAGGTGTTAAAACTCATCCCCTAATTATAAGCCTTTTCTCTGTTATTACTACCTCACCATTAAATCTCTAAACTAAATAGTAGTTTTGAGGAAATAAAAATAGATGTTAGGTAGTGTATTTTCTCAAATTTCAGTTACAATGGATAAGAAAGACAAGATACTTCCATGTATAATAAACTTGTTTAGCTTGTAAAAATAAAAGTCAATTTTATTATATTTTAACCAGCAAACTCTTTCAGCTTTCTCTCAGAATGCTGCTTCCCTGCTTTATTCTAGAACAGCACTAGCCAATGGAAATACAATACAAGCCACATTTGTTATTTTAGGTGTTCTAGTAGTCATATTTTTAAAAAAGGGAAAAGAAGCAGGTGAAATTAATCTAACAGTATATTCTACTGAAACCAATATATCCAAAATATTATCATCGCAACATATAATCCATATAAAAATATTAATCAGATGTTTTACATTCTTCCCTTCACACACAGTTTTCCAAATCTATAATGTATTTTATACTTAACTAGCCACATTTCAAATGCTCAACAGCCACATGCGGCTAGTGGCTACTGCGCTGGACGGCACATTCTAGATTTCCAAAAATATGAAGCTTTTTGGCCTAAAAGGCCATCACTTCAAAATCTTCCTATGTAACATCCTCTATAATCAGTATCGCTGCTAGGATTTTATATTAAGACAAACATTTAAGTGAATACATTTCACTTTCTTCCTCCACTCCTTTGACCCTCATATCTACTGCTTACGCTGATGACTTTTTCTTAAGGGTATAGGAAACCCCAGTGACCTATTCTCTTCAGCTTCTTCTAAGTGAGATCCGGATGTTCTCTAACCTGTGCATCCTCCTCACCAAGCAGAAAACCAGAAGGTGCAGCAAGGCTATTCTCTCTCAGTTTCCATAGATAGATATATCAAATACAGGCCTAATGAACCACGACAGTTATAAATTAAATGCAAGGGCGATTTTTTTGCTTACGATGAAAAGAGGAAATTTTATATGATAAAGTAACACACCCTTACTCAATGAGAAAATGATTTTACTCCCCGCCCCCACTGACCCCAGGAGAAACCTTGGGATATTCTTTTCTTGATCTAGAACAGAACCCAGTGCTTCATTTCATAGGAATTCTGTGCCCAGAGGAAGAACAGAATGTTGGAAACAAAATTTAATGAATTCAACTTGGAGTCTAAGTTTGCCTCAAATGTGGAAACGTAAACACAAGCAATAATATTTTAAACCATAGAACACTTTGGATTCTCCATTGGCATGGCTGCATAGAGTATCACACTTGATGTGTGTCGGCACACAAATCTGTTCTTAGTTACATGAGAAAAAAAATTAAACTAGGCCCATGTGAGCTTTTCTAAGTCTCTTAGTAATAATAAAACCTGATTATTATGTCTTAAGTGACACTGTAATTATAGACGGATGGATGAACAGGTTTTCTGGTGCTGACCCAACCTGTTCCCTAAAACACAAAAGGCAACTTTTGTAGTCCTCACTGAAGAAACCCCCCATTAAACAAATAAAACTAAAAACTAATGTCTACATTTTGAAAGAAGGCCTACCAAAAAAAAAAAAAAAAAAAATTCATCCCCATGCAAATGGATGAAAATCAGAACACTGTAGGTTTCCTAAAAAACAGTTTTGAGCTGTAGTTGTCACCAACTTTAAGAAAGCAAAGATACAAGTGACAACAATGTGCTTTCTCAGGCTACAAAATAACTTTATTCGGTGTCTCTGGCTGTAAGTCTACATCTAAGACGTTCTAAGTATTGAAACTAAATATTCTTAAGATGAATTTTACAGTCGTTGAACTTTCATTTTAACTTGCCTTAGTGATAATAGTTTATCTCAACAGCAAGACAAGGAGAAACACCAACCCTCTCAGGAACGCACACAGATAACATGGAGTGGATCACTTATGCTGGTATAGAAGAGTTAGGTCCTAAATACCTCTGTGGATAAACAGACACCGTGTTCAAACCCAGGAGGGAGGAACACCGTGTCCACTGGTGTAGTATTTCAAAGCGCCTTGCAGAGGGCCTGCAAATCCAGAGGCATTAATTATGACTTCTCTCTTGGTATATTAATTTGTTTAAGAAATTCCTCAGAGTACGGAGAGTTTACCATCCATTTGCTATCGCCTGTGCTGGTGGGCACACAAAGTAAAGACAGTGGCAATAACCTGTCTGGCAGCTTCTTACTCCGTCTTAGTCCTAGGGAAGCACACTCCACGGAAATACACCACCAAATCCCAGCAGCCGTATATTCTCCCGGCCGGGGAGAGACTTAAGAACACAATTACTCTTCTAGCAACACCCCTGTAGTTGTAAAGTGCTGTGAGAGGGGCAAGCATAAGCTCCACCATATACCTGCTCGTGTTACAGGCTCTGGAATCAAAGTATTCTCACATGACACATTACTACCAATAACAGATTCCGGCTCCGTTTAAAAAAAAAAAAAAAGTGCGGGGGGTGGGGGGGGCACATATTTGTCCTGTTTTTGTCTAAAAACCAGAACCCAAGTACTAACTACTTTTCATTCTTTTAAACCTTTCATGAAAGCAATTCAATCAACCAACTGCGGCTCCACCCAGAGAGCGTCTATACTTACTTTTCTTACAGTTTTTGAGTGACGCACTACAAAACGAAGAAGAAAAAGAGAGAGAGAGGAGCCCTCTCATGCAGGGCGTCTTCCGCCCTGTAAACTTGGCAAAAGGCAAACTGGACTGAAATACAGCACTCTCCATATAAGGAAGCCCAGCTAAACATGTCATGCGTAATTTATGGGTAGCAGGCAGAGAATTAACCTTTGCGTGCACATATTTGGCCCAGATGAAAACCGGGCTGGATGGCAGCCTCGGGGCCAGGGATGCGGGATCTCTTGGGAGAAACCGTGGCTCGCGTCTGATGGACTTGCATCTTCTCCTGACGAAGGTCATTAAGTTGTAAGTACACTTCCACGCACCTGTTTCTTTCATTTCCCCCCTCTTTCTCTCTCTCTCTCTCTGTCCAGGCTGCCAAACTCGAAGCTGGCTGCGCTCTGACAGTGTCCGCAGCGCCCGGGGAAGGGCTGCTCGGAGCTGGGCTGTAGCTGCAACCTCCCGCTCTCCCCCTAGCTCGAGATGGTGTGCGATAGGAAACCATCCACCGTGGCGAGCCAGCCCCTGCCGCTACGAGACGCAGCCGGCCAAAGCCTCCTCTCACTTCCTCCTTCAGCCATGTACAGCCCCGAAAGAGTACAAACAATGCAGAGCAGCAGAGCAGCGCAAGGAAACTGTGAAAATGGAAACTTACCTCTCACATTTTTTTTTCAGAGGCAGCCCGACTGCCGACCGAGGGCCCAAGGCATTGTGGGAGTCATGATTCCAAGAGGCCCGCGATTTAAAATTGAACTTGTCAGTTCCCGGTCACGGGAGCATTGTGAGCGCCACAACTCATTCAGCTGCAGTGAAAAGACTGTTGCATGTCGCTGTGCAGCCTCTTATCGCCGAGGTCTGGTTTCCGCTGCTGCTGCGCGGCCCCTCCCCCGCCAGCCCAGCCCCACCAGGAAGCCCGGGGCGGACTCGTCGAGCTCCCGGACGCACGCGGCGGCGAAAAAACGCTCTCCAACTTTCGGCCGCCCTCCCGCCCTCGCCCGGGCGGCACTGGCGCCCCTCAACCGAACAAAGTCCGCAAGGGGTGGTCGTTGCCGCTCGCGGGTCGGCGCCGGGAGCACAAGGAAGCCGGAGCCGGCGCTGGCGAGGTGCATCCCCGCAGCCAACCGGTGGTATCTTCCATCTTACACGTTCAACATTATAACAGCCGAGCTATAGTGCGAATGGGACGCACCCCTACTACTTTCTGCTCCTTCGGACCAGCCAGGCGGACACATAGGTTCTTTTTTTTAAAGAGGCCGGCGGATGGGGCTTTTTGTAAGGAAGCCGGCAAGGTTAGGTTGAAGGTGAGAATCAGATCGGCAGAAAACGGTAAGGATCTGATGGGGCTGCCACTTTAAAATGCACCACACCGTTTTTGAACCTGGATGGCTCACAGGCGGGAAAAACATCTGCAAGACTGCCAGTGTGTCTCTTCCTCAAGTAACAGGGTGTCCACAGTTTTGCAGTTCCTTAGTAAAACTGATTGTCACACAAGCACAAACACTCCCACTGCAGCTTCCAGTCTAGCTTGTAAATATATTTGGAATGTAAAATCCCCTTTCTTCCCAACTCTGCATTACACGATTTATAGGAGGCAGAGACCCTTCTCTGAAAATAAAATACCATTATTTGAAATACTGGAATATTCCAAGGCCACTAGGTCATATTATTGTTGGAGCAAAACACACCACAGCCCCAAATCATAATTCATTGGGTGTTATAAGTTGCAACTTGGCTTCACTTTGAATGGAAAGAATTCTAGACTAACGTGATGTGATAATGTTTTGGAGATTTGGGGGCAGAATTTCCTTTGAATTTAAGGAATTTTGATAACTTGTTCAATAATGATTCTAATTTAAAACATTGGTTCTATGTTTTGGACACAATTTGTAATGAAATGGTGGATATGGTGCCGTGTTCCTCCTACAACTTTGTTGTGTAAAAGAGGGTGGGGCCGGCTTAAGGAGGAAAAGGGAAAACATCGTGAAAGGTGCTAAAGTTCAGGAGTAAGAGTCATTAATAATAGACTTGAGTTCTGACCCTTGGCTAGATCCACAAAACAGTTAATATTGCGCACTGCTCCCTTCCCTAACAAATAAATTAATTAATGGCCCTACTTCTCAGTGTTAATCATTGAAAAGTACCCAAGTGCACACACAGTCGAAGCAAACTAAAAAGGACACTGACACTTTCTCAGAGAACAGGAATGGGCGTTCTCTATCTTCCAATTAGTAGCTATGAGGAATTCCTTTTTCTTAATTCAGCATTCATTTCAACAACTACATCGAATGCCTGCTATGCCAGAGATACAAGAATGGGTAACACAGACCCTACCCTAGAGGATAATACTCCTGCTAGGGAAAAGACAAATAAACCAATTAACTCTGCCTCAGGGATAAATGCTAAAATGGTGCTGGCAAGCCAAAGGGGGCCTGAGGAGGGTTAGGGAAAGCTTCCTGGAGGAGTTATTGTCAACAGGTGCCTTGAAAAGTGTATAGCAATTAACAATATGGAAAGGGAGTTGAGTCTGGTCAAGTGGGAGAAAAGAGCATGGCAAATACAACGGACCGGCCAACTTTCCTGTTAGAAGTGAGGGAAGGATAAGTATAGGGGAGTGGCCGGAGATGAGCTAAAAGTAGGTCTGTTTTAATCCAAGGAGCCTCAGCTTTAGTCTGAAAACCATGATGAACTGGAAGAGTTTACACAGCAAGGGGATAGGTAGAGTTTGGACTTGTATTTCAGAAAGATCCTGTGGCAGCAGCTTGAGGGTGAATGGGAGTGTGGGGTGGTGGCCCATAGAAGAAGGGTGAATGGGTGTGGACAGACTGGAAAAATGACTCATGCAGGGAATGAGGAAGGGAGGAACCTTGGGAAGCTCCCAAATCCCTGGCTTAGCCTACTGGATTGTTTGCTACTTGCCTTTTAATGTCTTCAATTTGCCTTTCATTCTCCATGACAACGGACCCTGACTTCTGAGCTGGGCCACCTCTGCGTCTGCTAGCAGGTTGGCGCCCTAGCCGGCTTCCACGCACCTCTCAGAATGTCCAATGAACCGCTACGGCCTAATCCCCGTTGTAGGAATTTATTTTCAATTGTTCTCAGACCCTTGTAGACTTCCAAGTTAGAACTTTGGTGTTCTTTTTTCTTGTGGGTTAGAAAGTTTGCTGTTTGGAGCAACGTGGCGAAAAGCAGGACTTTGAACCTGTGTATGGTGCAAGAGGGGAAATTATTTTTCCACTTCAGCACTGGAGGAGGGGGGAAGTTCTGGGAACAAAAGAGAAATTGAAACTGAGACAGATTTTCTGCTCCACCGAACAGATGACAAAGAAATACAAGAAAGACCCTTGAATGTTGGAAACAGTAAAATAAACATCCTCGTAAGTGACAAAGAAGAGAAAAAAAATGTTATTTTACATTAGATAAAAGAAAAAGGGATGGTTAAGAAAAACTCCTATAAAATAATGGTCAATCTAGGATTCAAAAATGAATCAAAATAAATTGTGATATAAAACTAGTTTGCCACGGATTTAGCTTAATTTATTATTAATGATAATACTATAACATGAGTAATGACATTGAAAATTTTGAAGCACTGTAACAAACACCAGATCATATGTTAAAAATATTAAATCATGTTGCCAGCTTTCAGCTACCAGTAGCATTCTGACTGCATTTTAAATTATGGAAATTATTAAAAAATCATTAGTAATAAAAAGTAAATAGTTTCCCATTTAGAATACCATTGATACTCCCTCAGTGCCAGGAAAGCATGAGCAGTTTGGTTTCTTTTGCTTCTCTGAAGTGTACTTAACAGTGCACGGGCTCATGAGTGAGTAGATCCATAAGTACAAAAAGAAGGTCATTTGTGGGTGGAGAGGGAAATTAGAGAAAACAATTTCAGATGAAATAAAACTACATTTTCAGATAAAGGAAAGAATGTTCACTGCAGTTTCTTGAAATATTTCAGACCATTCAAGTTTTAATTGTACCAATGAATCCCAATAGAAATGCAGTTAAGGAGTATGGTTTTTAGAGATAATATCAACTAGCTGGTTTACCAATAATACAGATAAAGGAAATGGTAGCATTTATCTTTTTCACTCAACTGGGAGTCTTTAAGGCACCTGTGTAAGTGTGTGAGTGTATGTATGAATTGTATCTTCCTTGTCCTACAAACCACATTTAGAGCTCAATAAATTCTCACTGCCTCCCAAATGTAATTTGACTTTCCTGGCAAAACAAACAAACAAAAAACTCAATGAAAATATCCCAAGAAGGTATGCTTTTTAAAAGTCAAAATATGAAAAGGTCTTGAATCACTGATCTAGGAATGTTGTTTTTATTATACCAGGATAAAAATAATCCATTGCAAGATAGTGCCAAAACAGACCCAGATGTAGATCTTTTGCTTTCTAGTCCATGTTTAAATACATATAGTTGAGAGAAGAAGCTTCTGGAAGGCAGGGAAGAGTAGGAAACGTTTTTGTATGGAGAATCCATTTTAAGCAGATAAATTAAATGTGTCTCTATTAACTTTCACAGTGGAGGAGGGAGGCACTCTTCTATAGGCTGGATTCAAACCTGTTTAGGTATCTGAATAAATATACTGATAGAGTCAGATGATTTTAGTTTACCTTCAAGGACCTTATATATTTCACACACCAAGTTTTTAAAATCATACCCAGTATTTAAATATAAATAACTTATATTCTATTATGTATTATGTATATATAATATGCTATGTAATACAACACATTGTATGTATAATTTTTGTGCCACTTAATGTGTAAATCGCTTAAGTGTGAAAATATTATGTAAAATCAACATATTTGTCTTAAAATGTTTATAAAGATTAAAACTGAGTTACAAAGATTTGGACATACCTCAATTAAGCTATTTTACCTGAAACTTGAATCTAAATCAATATAATTATTTTGGCATCAAGCAATAGGGCAATATAAAACATACATTTCAGAATTAAAAGTTTAGAACCACAGAATTTTAGTTGGGAATGGAGCGTTAGAGACGATCTGGCCCTATTCCTTTATTAGACCAGAAAACATTGTATAAGTAAATTGGCACCGTGACAGAACAGAACTGGCATCAATGTCTTCTGCCTCTCCCGGGCCATTTATTGTCATTGTTTTTCTTAAAAACACTGAGGGCAACAAGAAACTCTAATATAGACATAAAGGTTCCCCAAGTTTAATGTAAAGAAGGGCCACCCAAGACTTTCAGTATAGTTCTTTATTCCTCTATTTTTTCTTTCCTTTTTTCTTCTTCTTACCACTTTCCCCATTCTTCCTTCCTTCTTTCTATCAGAAAATACTTTTCACATAATCACTCTGTTCCATATTTCACAAATGTTTCTTGAGCATCCACTGTTTTAAGTCCTGTTCTGGGTAGTACAGTTTGAGATAGGAGCACAGCCCAAAACTTCCCTCAAGGAATTTACAGGCTGCTAGGGGGAGCCAGGCACTACACAAGGAAAGCATAAATATAAAGAAACAGGGGCGCCTGGGTGGCTCAGTTGGTTAAGCGACTGCTTTCAGCTCAGGTCATGAACCTGGAGTCCCAGGATCGAGTCCCGCATCCGGCTCCCTGCTCGGCGGGGAGTCTGCTTCTCCCTCTGATCCTACCCCCTCTCATGCTCTCTCTCCCTCTCATTCTCTCTCTCAAATAAATAAAATCTTTAAAAAAAAAATAAACAGGTAAACATGGGAAGCAATTTCAGATGGCAGTAAGCACTGTGAAATAAGAGAAAGCAGGTTAGCGGGACTGGGGAAGGAGGGTGTGTGTTCAAGGGCATGGTCAAGGACTGAGGTAGTCCGAGATCAGCAGAGTCCTCAAGAGAGGCAGAACACTGGCGGAAAGACCGTTCAAAGGAGTGGGAACTAGAGGTCTTGAGCCTTGAGTCCCGATTTGACACTAAAGCTAGAAGTCCAATGGTGAATAAAAACAAACAGGACACCTAACTTCAAGGAGCCTACAGTCAAGTGAGAAAAACAATGAATCCTAATCAAATTAATCACACTCAAAATGTACAACTGCAGTCATTAGACCTGGGGTCAGTGGGAACTAGCCAAGTGTTTGGTTGTATTAGAGGTGGGGGATGGCACGCGATCCAGATTTGGTTTTCACAGATATAACTAGAGTACTCTCTTGACTTGTTAGTGTGGAGACTAATGGTCTAGTCCCAGAACAGAATGCAGGAGTTGCACCAAAAAGAGTGGGCTCTGCCAGGAGGGCAAGGGGCAGCAAATGGCTGGAGGCCAGCGGAAAACCCTTAGCAGTGAGATACAGTGAACATTAGAATCTTACATCTGAGAACTGAAGAGAATCTGTAAGGTGACCACCTCCATGCCTTGAGGGAAGTGAGATGTTTGGGGTGTGTGCGTGTGTGTGTGTGTGTGTGTGTCTGTGTGCATGCACACACACTTGCACACACTTTCTTTCTTTCTTGAAGTCAACACAGTATAGAAAATTGAAAATTACTGAAAATAGAATTTTTTATATAAATCAGCAGTGATTCCAATTCCCAGAGATAGTCACTGGCCATACTACAGTTTATATTCTTCCAGGTTTTTCTCAACACAGTTTTTACATAGCTGACATTGTACTATATATGCAATTTTGTGTTCTGTTTTCTTTCCCACTTAATCTCATAGTGTAACTTTATAAAACAAATGACATCTCTCATGTCATTCATTTGAACCTTCATTTATCACAT